AAAAAAACGTACTTACTTCAAAAAATAAAACTTTATTGCATATTGTACATGAAAATTGCGTTTTGAGGAATTTAATAACCAATACCAATATAGAATATTATTAACTAGTAGCAGCAGTGGAGAAGCAGACCCACACTAACCTTCAGCTAATAAATATTTGCCATGACCAGTATCTTCCGTGAGTTAATATTTGAACTGCGTTCAAGGAGTTCGCCTGGGCCACACTACTTCGTTTCATTTATAGATCCTTTCGTACTGCATAACTTCGTATTACTCCTAACCCTTTCTTTGGAATTGTTCATTATATGGGACACGCCAAAAGACAATTTTTACGTTCGTTTTGCAGCGTATTTTTGTTTTTTTTTTTTGAAAAAACTTGCTCCCATGAAAAAGTAAAATACAACTGATTTTAATCTCCTTTTGATGTTAAACCCCGATTAAATGCCAATTAGAAGCAAGGAACAAAATTTTATTTTGGCTATTTATTAATCTTTTTAGGGCCTAAATTAAAATAATATAACATCAAAAATTATTTCATGTTTATTCTAGCCTAGCCATTAGTATTCCTTTTCGTATTTGTCATCGTACGTAATAATAATGGTAATGGTAATACATAGTGGTAATGGAACCTCCGAAATAAATTTTACAACAAATTCAAGTCAACCAATGGCCAAGGTCTCTACCAAATGAATAAGCGTTTTTTAAGAGAGTTCAATTGCCTGAACAAATTACTACAAAAAAATTATTGCCTTAATTTCGACTTTAATATTAAATTTTGTAAAATGAAAAAAAAAATCCTCCATAATTGCCTCTCCAGTTGTCACGAAAGATAAATAAGAATCCAAAATTTTGTACGCCAAAGTACGACAGACATTTTATTTTATTATATCATATATTGTTTATAAATGAATTATATTTTTTTATATATCATATGTTTCAAGTCATATGTTTTTGAGAAAAATACACCATAGTAATTTTAAAATTTCAAAATTACATTTCTCGACTGAAAAATAAGATATTCGAGCTAACTTGACGGCACACAGTGCGATTTTAAAAAAATGCATGCCAATTAATCGTAGCGCTTACGACAGAAGCAATATTTTGATATGAAACAAAATGGCTTTGAAAGCTAAAATGTAATTGCCTTTCACGGAAGCTGTTTTTCATGGCAGAAATACACTCGGAGGTTTGCCATTGCCTGCAGAGGGAATGACGTCCTGTTTCGCCGCCACGCCTTCCAGGTATGCGACCTTAAAAAAGTGAAAAATTATAGTTAACAAGCAAGCAAACAAGAAAGGTGTAAAAATCACTTACCTTCATATATTTCTCTATGGGTCCGGGCGAATACTTCTCGACCCGGATGTCGACGATTGGGGTATCGCTCTGCATAGAGTCTTTGAGCAGCTCTGGCATTACAGCAAGCTTCACCGTAAATTAGGTGAATATCCGCATATTCATGCGACGTATACTGCGTGTTCTCTGTCATAGTATTAATAACACAATGTTCGAAGGGTCCAATTTCA